CCGCAGGCGCGGCCCCCTTCGGAGGTCACTCCGCCGGCGACTTCGACGACGGGTTCCTGCGAAGGAAGCAGCGCCGCAACCGCACCACCTTCACCCTGCAGCAGGTAGGAGCCTTCTCCTCTCTGCCACCTGCCCTGCACACCTGTCGCCCCCTGCCCGCTCCCCGCCCTGCACCGCCCGGCTCCCTGCCCGGCCCGCTGTCCTGGGGCAGCCGGACAGACGCCCCCCGAGGCGGCGGCTCCCCGGCCCGGCCCGCGCCCCGAGCTGTGCTCTGCCCCTGACAGATGTTTGCTCTCTTCCCCTCCACCAGCTCGAGGCACTGGAAGCCGTTTTCGCTCAAACCCACTACCCCGATGTGTTCACTAGAGAAGAGCTGGCGATGAAAATCAACCTCACGGAAGCCAGGGTGCAGGTAAACATTCTGGGGAATTATTTAACTCTTGGGTATTCAAACTGCCAAACTTTTTTTTTTTTTTTTTTTGACATCATGACTGCAGAGTGCACATTTGGCCAAAGAGCGCAAATGAAGACGATCTGTCATTTTCATGATGCACTTTAATAACATCAACATAATGTGGAATATTAGATTAGGTTGATTAATCGGTCATTCATAATTAACTAGTGATAATGTTCTACACTAATTTGTCCGCGTCTCCAAGGTACTAAATTACATCAATGCACATCCATTTCCTTGCTTTTGGAGGGGGGGGGTGTGTGTAGAGAAAAAGGCTGAGACGTGATTCTCCAAAGTAACTATGACCACTGTCGAGCAATGGGGTTGGGGTTAGCAAACTGCAGGGAGCCCAGCTGCCAGGAAGACATCTTCTGCATCTCTTCAACTTTTCTCCTTTTCACCTTCTTTCTAAACACTTAATTTAGACAGCTAAAGAGCCTGCAGAGCAATTCCCACACCTTCAATGTGATCTGATAAATACTATTGGCTAAGATTACTCTCTTTCCACCCCTACTCTTTTCCTTCCTTCCTTCTTTCTCTCCACTTTTTTCCTTTTTTTTTTTTTTTTTCTGATCCAGGTGTTTGTTTTTCCATATCCAAGGATTAACTTTGTGTGTCTACAAGCTCTGCTAAGAACAGCAATACTGCAGTTGTCAGAGATGGATCTCTATAACTGCAGGCATCTACCACAGAGTTGCAAACCATTTTTTGAACACGATTATGTATTAATTTTATTTATGGGGCTGTTCTGCACACCGTTTTTGTATTTTTTTTTATTTAGGTGCTTGGGGTTAAGACTATGCAAAGATCTAATTGTAGGAAATATAATAGCTTGCCTTTTGTTCCCTAGGGTCATGTTAGTATCTCTTAAAACCCAATGGCTGAAGAGAGATAATGGAATTCACCGCAGTAAATTGGGGATTGTAAACAAATTATTTCTCCTATAATCAGATTATGCGATCCTGATTATTAAATCTGAACATGAATCATTGGTCATATGCGGGTAAATTAAACTGATTATTATTTGGAAATGAAAATCTCCTTTTGCCACTGCATTGTAGGTACTAGCTTAAAAAAAATAACAAAAAATACCATTTCAGCTATTGGTGCCTAAAGACTGAACTGCAAATTGAGATAAATGGGACAATTATTGAGCATTCAGAAGTGGAAGATCATAACTTCTTCCTGAAAGGTGCAAGGGTGAGATAGGGGTGGTGACAATTAGACTGCTGAGGACTGGTGTTTAGCCTTGTTGTTGGCTATTATGCAAACAGACAATAGATGCAAGCATTTGTTTAGCCTGCTTTCATGCAGGGACATGGGGAAACACAGAGGATGGGAGATATGTTTACATTTATACCCCTTGCTCATTCAAATATGATTAATGTGCTATAAAGCAGAGTCTTAATCGAAGATGATGTTGTCAAACAATAACTAAATAGGGAAATAAACGACTTCATCATGCTCTTTCCTCAGAAGCAGGCGAACTGTCAGTGCAAAGTCATTAAAATATGATAATGAAAAATAGCTCAATTAAATGTTGTTATAGCTGTGACCTTCATTCAATTAAGGCACAAGAAAGTGTCTGCATTTTGCTTTGCATTTAACTGCTCTAAATTTAGAATATAGATAAAATCATTATTCAACGTTTGCTGATACATGCAATTAAAAGGCAGCTAACTAAAATGGAGCTGTAGGAGGAGAATAATAATAATAACAATCTTGCCTATACTTGAAGTCATGTATTAAAATGTGAATTTCCTGACCTCAAGAGAGGCTTGGTATTTTCCACCTCACATAAGGTCCTTTCAGAGCATCAGCTCCAAGGTAAACGGCAAAAAAAAAGTGTTCGGACTAAAAGTTGGGGGATAAAATCAAGAACATGAATATTTATATTGCATTACAGGGAATTAAACTGCAGAATGATCTTCCAAAATTAGTATCTACCACCTTTTGAGTCCTCTAAATGCAGACTGGACAAATACATCAAAGGAATAACAGCAAATATCAGTTCTCTCCAGGAAATCGGCTGGATAAGATGGACTAATACATACCTTTTAATTTCTGACTGATTCTAGCAGGAGCTCATTTAAAGACTTATATACGGTTTCATCAGTGTGCTTAGATACGTATTTAAGTTCATCCCTATAGAAAAGGCTTTTAGATGTGTTAAAACATAGAAATCAGTGAGAATTAAATGTGTGCATAAAGGCAAGCACATGTTTAAATGTTTTGCTAACTGGCACAGTAACACCAAAACTCTTTTTACATTTTCTTTTTAAATTATCTTTAACATGCCTTTTGAATGTCTTTAGACATTCCTGCCTTCTTTTCCAGACACAGAAATATTCCAGATACAAATGTAATCCTAAAGCTCAACTAAAATAACAATGGGGACACAAAATAAGAGGAAGTTTTAGCCAAGCTTCTAAATGACTGATTTCACTAGAATAAGAATTTACAGTTCCCTTGCTTTGCATGCGGCTAAACACAGTATTCAGCCTGGATTGCTCTCCTGCTCCAGGTGTGGTTCCAAAATCGAAGAGCTAAATGGAGGAAAACAGAGAGAGGTGCTCCTGACCAAGAAGGCTCTAAGGAAACAATGGCTGAGGTGGCTGCTCCTGCGAGGAATTTAAATTCCCCTTCTCCAGCAGAACAAACCAGGAATAAAAAAGAGGGTCTGGAGATCCAGCAGAGGTAAGAGTAATACATGTTATCAGCTGCCTCTCTTTGGGGCTAGCATGCATCATATGTACATACATACAGACTTGCCTGCTGCTAAGCCTCGACATACACAGTATCATCTTTAGATACAGCCCAAATCGTTAGGAGATGAACTGTCTTTTGTGCAACTCACTGCTCCCTGTGGGCATGCTAAGAAGCTGGTGGCTGCAGCAGGCTACTGTTATCCAGACTTGGTCCCATCTGGCTGGAGCTGAGACACCAACGTGTTTGTGAGCATGCACAAATGCTCTCTTTGGAATCAGCTAGTTCTGGTTTTGTAAGGAAGTTGTTTTCTCTTCTCCATCAGCCTGAGTCGAGCAGTGGGTCCTACAGGACCTTTCTTCCCTTCCTGCCTGCCGGGAACTCTTCTCAACACAGCCACCTATGCGCAAGCTTTATCCCATGTCGCCTCTCTAAAAGGTGAGTGACTTTGTTTAACTTCAGGCATAAGCTCAAAGAGTGGCGCTTTCAAGATGAGTGGCGTGGTCCCACTTGAGGCAGTCGGGAAGCCTTTGGGAAGTGATGGATCCTTCTTTCAGTTATGATTGGCAGTAATTGCACTGACCGATGCTGCAGGTACAGGAGTGAGTCTTCTGCTGTAGCATCATTTGTGGCGATGATCCTTCCTTTCACTCAGACAGTTAGTTTTAGTGAGATTAGGGTTTGTCTCAAGGAGCAAGGCAGGTAGGGTTTGCTTCTTTAAAGTTTTCTTTGCATATGCCTTTTTTTAAAGAGTCAGATTTATAATAATAAATTAGTTATACACATCCTTTTGCATTATACATTATCTGGCACCGTTACTGATGCCTCATCCACTCTTCGCATGCGGTTTATTTGCAGAACATCTCTGTACAATGCCAGACCTTTCTCTTCTTGAACAGTAGGTCCCCTTTAATAAAGTGTGTGCATGGGGACAGGGGAGGATGCAAAGTAATTCCTCATTACTTGGGACTCAGGCTTCAGGAAGAGTATATCCAGTATCCATATCCTTTTCAGTTCCCAAAAAGCAGCAGTATGCTCTTTTAAAAATAAATCACCAGCTGATCCATTAGCTGTTCCTAGTCTAACAATTTACAAGACTAAGGGTGTAAGCAGGATGAATTCAATTTATAGATTTATAGGATGTAAAGCCTTATAGCACTGCCAAGCACAAAGTGGCACGTACATTTGCTCCGTGCCCCAATGTGGTGCAATAATTTTTGAAGAAAGTTTCCCAGTTTAAGACCCTCTACTGTGAACATAAATGTCCTCTAATACCTCTCATTTTGTTCACTGGCATACCTCATGCTCTTTGTGAGTATCTCCAGTTAAATCAGCATTGCCAACATATATTCCCGAAGCAAATGCTTGGAACTGCTGAGTTTTGCATTAAGTCCACTCTCCTGCTCCCTGCTCCCCTTCCCTCCTGTCTTTCCAAAAAAGTTGAAACCAGACACACCATACAGCTACTGCTATTTTGATAAGGACTTGTGATTTTCAATCAAGAAAAGCCACATAGGTGTGACCTGAGCCCTGAAACTTAAAGGATGACTGTCAACCTAACCCCTGTAAGCAGGCAGCAGCTGTTGGACTGCATGAGATGTCTTGGTCTCTGCTCTCTGCCCTACGAAGTCTTGGGGCAGAGACTTCCAGCTTCTTCCATTGGGCAGAAACAGCCTCTCTGGAGTAGATAGAGGTGAAATTCTTCAGGCAAAAAGATTGTTCATTGATAAATAAACCGGGCAGTTTGAAAGGTGTGGAAATGGGGTTGTGTTCAGTGAATAATTTTCGATGGAAGATTTTCTTAAATTTTCTTAAAATTTACATTTAAGCATTTTCATAATTAAATGCATCAATATGTTGTTCTCACTTGTTTCGTGTTTAGATGTAGCTAAATTTTAAGAAAAAGAACCCCAATAAACAAAGGCCAAGCAAAATGAAATGAGTGAATGTAAAAAAATTGTCATGAGTGGCTCATTTTTTTTTTTTTTAAGTTTTACTTATTTGGAAGATTTCCAGCTATTCTTTTCTGTGATTTTACAGCTTGGCCACTAAATTGAGAAATTAATAATTTGCTCCTTTTTGCTTGATAGCAATTTTACAGCCTGGGGGCAGGAAATATCCTGTTCCTGAATCTCTTGCAGAGATACTTATTAGATAGACTGCTGTCCAGGCTAAAAGTCAGTGTCCCTGAAAAATTGGTCCTAAATGTAAATATAGACTTTTTTATAATTTGTATGGGGATGACCAGTTATCAGATGCATGCATATTCTCTTCATGAATGTTGTCAGCTACACATGCAGTTCATTGCTGAGATGCCTGGTGTGTATTTCCTGCTTGGCAGTAGAAATCTCCGGATATGTGCAAGATAACGTAGTTTATTTTGATTTTAAGAAATCCAGTTGCAGGTTTGCATATCTGCATATCCACCTACCAGGAGCTTTGAGGAGCTCCTTATGCTTGTCAGCATATTGTTATACTTGCAAGGTACTGGTAGAGTGAGCTGCTGATTTGAAGGGAGAACTTTTTCTGCTGCAGTTAGTCTCAGTAATGTTCAAATTTTGGCTTTGAGATTAAGGGGGAAGAATTTGTTCTATAAAGTGGCAAATTTGATTTATACAAGTAGAGAATAATTGTAGCATCTTTCTTGTGGTATTTATATATGGAGTATTGTCTTCTCTTTCCTTGGCTCATCTCCACAAGTTCCTCTT